TTATTACAGCCCGGCCGCACTCCACCCCGGGCTGGCGGACTTTAGCCCTTAATCGAATAGAAAAGTAGCAGCAGACGCCTTCGATCCCGACGGCGGCGTAAAACACAAGGAGGGCCCCCAAAATAATGGTGAGTGAAGCGTTTCGGCTGATGCAAGCTGCTCACCCCTGCTCACCCCATCCAGATTTTAAAGCTGTTTCCTTTTTTCCTCTCCTTTCTCCCCTCATGCTACAGGCAAAATTTCTGTCCCAGGATCAAATTAATGGTATGTAAAGTTTTGTTCTGATTTTGGGTTTGGTTTTTTATTAGCAAGATCACCTTAACAAATTTATATTTTTATTTTTTTTTAAATGGCATTTCCCCCCATAAAGGGTCTTGGTCTGGGCTTGTGCTCCCCCACTTGCCCTCCGCCCAGCTCTCAAGGGTATCTGCTTGCTCTAAAACCAGAGAAATCTCCCCGATTTCATTAGGACAGTGCAGGGCACAGGCAGGGAGCTGAAACAACCTGCAGACCCACCGGCTGGATTGCACCAGGCACGAGGATTGCACGCGGCCAGCAGAAGTTAACCAGCAACCTCCCAACCCCACCACCACGTCAGCCCTGGCCAAACCAGCAGGGACCAGGAGAAATTTCAGGTGACCGTTTGCAGTGCCGGTGCCTGGCACGGCTTCGTGTACGGTGGGAGCGAAGGTGAAGGAGGAGGAGGAGGAGGAAGGAGAGGGTGCAGGAGGTACAATTCTCATGGCGAGGCACCGGGGCTCTCCCTGGGAAAGGGGGACCCCTGCCTCAGAATGAGGAAGGGTTTGCTACAAGAATGGCAGAAGAAAGCTGAAATAAGAGTATTATTGCAAATCTGTTAATCTGCAGCGCCCTTGGGCTGAGCAGCTCCGCAGGATTGCTGCGGGGGAGGCGGCGGCTGGGGCAGGGGGAGGCCACGGCACTCATGGGACACCTGGCACCCATGGGGCACCCAGCACCCACCATAGCACCCTGCACTCACACCCGCAGTAAGGTCTAGGGCCAGAGAGGATGAGGAGGGGGCTGGAGGGCGATGGCACCACGCTAGGCTGATGTTTATCCCCCGGCTGCTCTGCAGACAGGATTGTCCCCACGCAGCACAACTTTCCCGTTAGCACTGAGCGTGACGAGGAGCGGAGCCTGCCACCGCGCCGGGAGCAGAGAGGGAAGGGAGGATGAGAGATGGCAGCCTTATCTAGGTCAGCTGCAACCCTTAGTTAGTTAGTTGGAAACCGGGAAGCCAGTGTTCGAGGGGGAAGGGGAGAGGGCGAGCAGGCAGGCGAGGACCAGGGGGAGAAGCGAGGGAGGGGAGATGCCGCAGTTGGATGGCGGCGGGCCAGGCAGCGGCTCTCCTCCGCTACGCTCAGGCAGCTGGCAGCGCTCAGACTGTCCGATGCGACATCATCGGTTCTCCTCTCTTTTATTCAAACAAAAGGCTGAGGCGGGGGCAAGTGCCAGACCCCAGCAGGGACCAGACCAGCATCTTCCCCCCCTCCCTAAGGCTCGTTCCTTTAGCATCCGCTCTTACCCCCCATGAAGGCAGAGAAAAGTACTTTTTAACAGTATTCTACTTATTTGGAATGACCCAACTTTCAGACTTGCTTCATTAGGCTGAAGGACCCCAATTAGCTCAGCTATTCACAAGCCTGGATTTTAATTGCCCTTGGCACTTCACCCGGGGTCCTCCTTCACTGTCCATCATCTGCCCTGAAACGAGACACCCCGAACCAGACACAAGATCCTCGCTTGGAACCCGACCGGGCAAGAAACATCACTGGTAGATCAATGTAATCTTGCATGGCATAACAGAGAGTTTTGGTTTTTAATTAGAGTTCAAGGAATGTTTTTCTCTGTACGACAAGAAACAAAAAGGCAAGATAAAAGCCTCCGACCTGATGGCAGTGATGCGGTGCCTGGGAGCCAGCCCGACGCCAGGAGAGGTGCAGAGACACCTGCACCTGCACAAGATCGGTAAGGAAATGCAGCAGTAGCACATGGATAAAACATCCCGGATTACAGTGGGAGAAATCCAACTTTTCTGTGGCCAGGAGACTACTTGCAAAGACAAGGAGCCCAGCAGATAACATTCACTCTCAGGTGACGCAGCCCAGGCAATGCAGCGTAACCAAGAGCAGTCACCAAACCTAGTCTGATGTGCTAGATGGTGAACAAACCCAATCCAGTACACAGATTAAAATAGTGCCGTTAAGAAAAACAAAAGCTTCAAGAGCAACAGGAGGTATATGTATCGGTTATGGATTTTGAGGCTGGTAAATTATCCAGTCCAACAGAAGAGCACAGAAAGATACTCATCTGCGGATACGTGTAAGTAACTTGGAAGCACAGCACAAAGACCAAAGAAGAATCAGGCGATAAAGTGAGCTGGATTAAAAATCCTGGATACGAGGTTTCAGAGCACCAGTCTAGCAGGGCTCTAACTGGGGTTTGGGCCAGGAGGAAGCCCCCAGGAGAGGATCCACCCTGGTCCAGACCAGAGTCAGGCAAAAGGGTCCCAGGCAGGGGAACTGGGGGGGGACAGGAGGGGAGGGTGTAGGTCTGGATCCAGACTACAAAACTGAGCCATTCCTAAAGAATCTGCTCTCATTTTTCCAGACAGAAATGCAGAGTTGGATTTCTCCACTTTCCTGAATATAATGTACAGGCAAACGAAGCAGGAGGAACCCGTGAGGGAAATCCTCACGGCCCTGTCCATGATAGACAGGCAGAAGAGAGGCGTTATCACCATTTCGGAGCTGAGAGCCAAACTTACAAGACTAGGAGAAAAGCTTTCCGAGGAAGAAGGTATTTTACAATTCAAAGATGTATCGAACATTCCCTATCTTCTTTCCTTCCCGATTTTCCTCTGTAGTTGACTCTGGGATCAGGTCCTTCCCAGCTGGGAAGCCCGGAAGAACCCGTGCCAGCAGGAGAGAGTGCTGGTGCACCCTTGGTGGGGGCAGAAGGGATGTCCCCCCATCACACCCCAGACGCGCCATGCCCCGCAGCATCCCGCCGTGCCGTCGCGTCCCCAGGTCCCCCCCACCGGCACCAGTCTCTTTCCTGCCGCAGCCACACGCTGACCGCGCGCCTCCCTTTCA